ATCGAAGTAAGGAACTATAGCCATATCGGTTTAGGTACCTTTACCACGTGGCGAAGGTGCGAAAGTCGAATTAACCAACAAACTAATTACAATCGATGGTTAATTTGCTGTTTAGTTCAGATTGGAACACACGTCAATTTGACACTCTGATGTCATTGTGATTAGATTAGGACGGCTGAAAATGTTCATAATCTTATCTTTTAGCCCAGGCCGTGATTTCCGCGAAACATAATGTATCGGTTGTCTCATTACTTGTGATTTGCATTTGTTTATCCTTGTGTATTCCGAATCAGCTACCAAATATGTGTTCAAATCGTCTGCCAACATATACGCCACACTCAACATCCTCGTCGTCGATGGTAGCGCGATTCCCATTGGAGCTATGATACTTTTTCGCGTGAAAATGAGCAACGTGGGAAAATCCCCTTCCATCACTTCCACTTTGACATGGTGGGGAAAAGTATCGAACAAGCGAAAGAGATGTTAAATGGCGATAAGAGAAAGCATGGGCCACGAATCAGCAGGAAAGTGATAGAAGGTGAGGGGAAGGCGGTGAGGTGGTGACGAAAAATGAGAGGTTTACATGTTGCTTCGTTACTACAGGATTATGCTGCATCGCGCGACAACGTTTGTGTTCGTTGCATGTTGCATGCGTAGGATGGTTGTCGCACCACCCACTGTAGGGTGAATACATAATTCAGTCTTGTTGTGAGAACATGCAAGTCTTTTTGTTGATACATGTTATTTGTTTTTTTATGATTTTACACACTCAGATTTTTTGCCGAGATGGGCACCATAGAGCAGCTCGGCATTTTATTTTGCTGGATCTCAGTGAAAACTTGCCGAGATCTCAGCTAACAAACAGTAATTTTGCTGGATCTCGGCAAGTTTTTCAATGAGATCCAGCAAAATCAAATTCCGAGCTGCTCGGTGGTGTCCATCTCGGCAAAAAATCTAAGAGTGTACATCAGCGTTGCCAGATTGTTTTAAAACTTATCTGTATCAAAGGTATTTAAAAATCGGTATTTATCGGTACCTATTTACTATTTTTTTAATTTTCTATTTTTGCCGTTTTTGAAAGCGAAAATTTTAACGATGGTTACGACTGGGATTTGAGGCTTTGTTTGACGGCTTTCTCAGTCTTAAAAAACTCTTTATTTTTTTTTTTAATTAAATTTTTAAAATTTTTGTTGTCTTTAAGTGGTGATCAAAATGGTCACCAAGCACTGTTTTTTTTTCGATTAAATATCATTAAATGAAACCAAAATATGGAAAATCAGCCACAACAATGACTTAACTACTGGCAATAACGACAAAAAATATTTTCCCTTGAAAAAAGCCACAATCTATGGCGGAAATGTCGGGCAGATTACATCGTAGTCGTTGCATTGTTTTAAGACTGAGAAAGCCGTTAATCAAAGCAACATTTTAGCTTCTGAACTCTGATCGAAAAATTCCGGAAGAAAGCGCCGGGGAATGTTTGAATTCGCTTCTGAATGGAGCTGGAAAAATATCCAGAGAAATACGAAAGAAGCTCTCCTGGATGAAGTTCGAGAAAAGCTGGGAAAACCTCCGGGAAACTTCCAAGACACGGAAAAAAAATCGAATGTCACATCCAAAGGAAGCCAGAAAAGTTTCGGAAACCGGAAGTAAATTTCCAGACTTAGCCATTTTCAGGGAAAGCCAGAAGAAGCTCGGAAAAACCTTCCAATAGAAGTCGAATAAAAAAAAACTTTAACTTATGGTCAAACTTCCAGAAGAAGAGGAAAGAAATTTCTTGGAGAATTAATTGAACTTCCTTGAGAAGACGAAATAAACTTCCTGGAGACGCTGGCAGAAACTTCCTAAGGTAGATTGAAACAAACATCTGAAGAAAGTCGGAAGCCAGAGCGTTTACGGAACAGTCGAAAGAAACAAGGACATTATTCCGGAAGAAAGAGATTCCTGGGGGATACAGAAAATTTTTCAATGATGATCCAATGATCCAGAAAATTTTCCTGATATTCAAAAAACATCCCTGAAGACTCAGAAATTTCCCTGAAGTTTTCAGAACATTCTTGAAATACGCTTAGGAATATTCCATAATTCCTCGAAATTCCTTAAAAGTTCTTGTATTTTTCCGGAAACTAGGGGCTGTTTTGGAGTTCTCTGGTCATCTTCGAAGCGAACTTCCCTGATTGTAATAAAACTACTGGAATATCTTTAATTATCTTAGAAGGTCTCTGGATTTTTTTGAAGATTACGAAATCTCTTAAGTGCTCTCACAATTTTCTTGAATTTATTATAACATAAGTATTGAAGTTCTCTGATCGTCCCGATTTTTTTTTTTATTTTTAAAAGTTATCGACACTGCCATTAAAAAACATTGAACTTCCCATAAAATGTTGTCACAATGATCTAATCGACAGTGAGCATGCATAAGGGCGTATACGCGATGATCGATTCTCTTCATCGATTTTCTCTTTGCATTGCTACAGCTAAGCGAAACAATTTCCTAGAATTTTTTCAATGCAGAGTTGTAACAGGTTGTATTGGCTATCGAAAGCAACAGCAAACGTACCGAGAAACGTTAATTCTAGCAAGTTATTAACAAAAGAGAAAATCGACGAAGAGAATCGATCATCGCGTATACGCCCTTATGCATGCACACTGTCGTAATGTTCATGTAACTTCCCTTATAAGTACGTCCTCGTACTTACTGTAACTGTAACTTACTGTCCCAAGCTAATCGATTCACCCCTCGAAACATAGGAAAAACCAATAACCCCTCATTTTATCTGTCAAACTTTCATAGCGAATCAAAACAAACATTGTGTAGTACTAGAATTTCGACTAGAATGGGATACGTTAATCGTTTGCTTGGGACCTAGTCCAGTAGTGAGCCAATTTAAAATCGTTAGTTTCGTATTGAGTGTTGGTTGTACCATAGAGGTAACTCTAAGACCACTGGGTCCCGAAGAAAATCATTATAATTTTTGGCTCACTCAGTACCAGAACAACGGTCCCAAGCAGTCCCAAGCTATTTCACTCACCCCTGCATGTTCTGCATGAATCCACACACCCCTGATGTTATCTGTCAAACTTTCATAGCGAATCAAAACAAACATAGTGTAGTAATAGAATTTCAACTAGAATAGGGTACGTTAATCGTTTGCTTGGGACCAATAGGCTACTAAAGTGGTGAGCCAATTTAAAATCGTTAGTTTCGTATTGATTGTTGGTTGTACCATAGAGGTAACTCTAAGACCACTGGGTCCCGAAGAAAATCATTATTATTTTTGGCTCACTCAGTACCAGAACAACGGTCCCAAGCAGTCCCAAGCTATTTCACTCACCCCTGCATGTTCTGCATGAATCCACACACCCCTGATGTTATCTGTCAAACTTTCATAGCGAATCAAAACAAACATAGTGTAGTAATAGAATTTCAACTAGAATAGGGTACGTTAATCGTTTGCTTGGGACCAATAGGCTAGTCAAGTAGTGAGCCAATTTAAAATCGTTAGTTTCGTATTGATTGTTGGTACAACCGTACAACGGTACTAACAACAATCAATACGAAACTAACGATTTTAAATTGGCTCACCACTTTAGTAGCCTATTGGTCCCAAGCAAACGATTAACGTACCCTATTCTAGTTGAAATTCTATTACTACACTATGTTTGTTTTGATTCGCTATGAAAGTTTGACGGATAACATCAGGGGTGGGTGTGCGAAAATCTTAGCTCAAAAATTGTCCATTGTTAAGTTTGAAATGATGGGTACATTATTGTTACTTTGGTCATTCGGACTGCCTAACATGATTGGTGCTCATTTTCTAAAGGCGGGGCCAACCTAAAGTTAGGAATTCTACTCTGAAATCTGTGAAAGGGAATCTAGTATCATGTAGACAAAACGTCCAATGTAACACTCATTGATTATGTCAATGAGAAAAATCGTCCAATGTAACATGTCCGATGTACAACTTGACTAGTCAAAACGTCCTATGTCGTTTTTTTTTCTATTTTGTAGCATGAAATTCAAAGTAAAATTGTGATTTTACCTTTTCTAATAAATTTTCAACGTTATTATTCACTGACTACATTAAAAATGGTATTGTAAACTCCCTCATAAAAATAACCATAAAAGAGAGCTTAACGACGTGTTCGGGGTAACATCCAAACTATATGTGGGATAGTTTACCCATCCGGGATACAATTCGTTTATGGTATTTGTTTATTAGGGCTGTATTGTTTCTAAACAGTTAAGATAATAAACTGTCGAACTTCAACTTCGATTTTCTCAAAATGGTGGATATGTTACATTGGTCTATTTGAAAAGTGACGCGAGCTATGTGATTTGTCTTATGGAATGTATAAGGCTGATGTTTTCGCAAAAATGTATGAGTGAACCACATGAATTTCGTGTGGGTTATTATTTTACGCAACACCCCCTAATATTTTTTTCTAGTTTTCGCTTTCAAAATGGTTTACTCCTCGCCTCAAAAAAAAAGTGGCGCCATGCTGTCAGTAGTTATGAGATCAAAACTGACAGCATACAGTGATCCATTGGCCTACACAGAAACAAAATCCATTGGCAAAAATACTATATTGATGGTTTAAATTAAATACTCCCACCAATAGATTTGTGCAGAAACGAAATTCATTTAATTTTACTATTTTTTCTATCAAAACTACTATGCCGTTTGAGTAAGCATAGTAGTTTTGACAGAATGGTAGTAAATTTGATTATATTTTTAGTCAACTATACTGAAATCATGGTAGATTTAACGGCATTAAGCGTAGTTATACTGAAAATAAGTGTTTTCTGCAAAATAGTATTCCTAACTATGGTCTTTGTTTCAGTGTATTTCAATCGTGGAATTTTTATAATCTTGTGGAAGAATCATTTACAAAAACCAAAATCAGAATTACCTCCAGTGCACACGCCAGTCGAACTTCTCTCGTTCGCCGCTGCGATGTCGCCACTTGTTTCCTCTTTCGGCTGTCACCGGTGACAGCTAGAACTGTCAAAACCGCTTCTGTCTGCAGTTTACCTTTCCGAACCAATCAGTGTGCTCGTTCTCTGTTTCCGGCATCTTGTGCTATCGTTCATACCGCATTTATTCTACTGCTTTGTGAAAAGTGGTGTAAGTTTGTTGAAATTGTAGCTTTTTTCCGTGGAAAACCTGCTTGCGATGGAGTGCGACGGGAAGGACTAGAAAAACCGGTGTTTGGTGATTTGGGACTTGTGCAAAAGTCAGAAGTGTTTTCGTGAAAAATTCTTAGGAACATTTTCGTCCTGATGAAGAGAGAGCCTGGGGCGGCTTTAGTCGGCGAATCGCAAGAAAAAGTGAAAAATTTATAAATAGACCGATGTTGAGGTTACGAAAAGTGGTTCCCGGCGTTTGCGATAAGAAGTAAACGATAGGAACGATTGTAAATTTCGGATGAAACCTTATTCAGAACGGATGCGGTTTGCGTTTTCCAGTGAATCTAATTAAAACGATTGACCTTCGGCTTCTCGGTTCTACGCACTCATCGTTCAAGCAAAAGCAGTTTTTCCTACGCCTTACGAGCAGTGAAACGAAGCCAAAAATCGATTCTCCATCACTAATAGTTTGTATCCGTTTCGCCCTTCTGCAGGAATTAAAATCTCGCTAAGACCAAAAAGAATCAAACGATCGCAAACATGCCAGAATTGACTGAAATCACGGAAAGCACTGCTGCGGCTGCTACCACTTCCGCTATCCCGAGCACCTCCGCTGACAACACAGAGGCCAAGCTGGAGGACGCCCCAAGCGATACCGAATCGGATGACACAATCCCAGAGCTGGAAGATGCAGGTGAGTGAGTTATTGCTGCAGATGGCTATTGGTGTTCTCGTGACCCAGCAAAGGCGCGCAAAATTTGAACGGTGTTCCGGTGAGGGTGTGTTGGTGTTTGCGTCTATCTGATGATAAGGAAGAAGAGCTGACGGAAAACGAAAACCGGTTTCTTGAGCGATTTTTTTCATTACTGCTGAAGAAGCACATTCATCCCGCTCGTAGGAGTGCGCGTTACGTCACGGGTGGAGTAAACTGATACCTAGGATGTAGTTGATAAGGGTGATAGTGCAATGATCTGTCAAGGCCGTTCTAGGCGAAACATGTAAAATGATAGTGACTTGCCATCTCCCGACATCGATGTTTGAGAATTCGTAATAAGCTGATAAAGGAACCATAAAAGGTTGTTATTTTGTAATGTTCTGAGGTTCTACTTTCAAACGTGCTATATGTTCGAAGAACTCTTAGCGCCTAGTAGTGAAATAGGATAAATGCAGGCTGGATCATTTTTCTGGATTGTCATCAACATTCCCTAATAAGGATATATTATGATGCCCAGGTAATAGAGAATTATTGAGCGTGCCACACAAAATTCGAAACTAAAAATTGAACGTTAGAAAACTTATCTCTTTCCTCCCTCTTAGCTTGCTAGGTCAACGAGATCTTTGATTTTCCTATTACAGGTAGCCTCTTGATTTGTCGTCAAATCTAGTATTATAGGCTTCATGCATTGTCTTTAAACCGCTGGAACCCTGGATGTTCTCTAGTTTTGTCCCAGAGGTCAATTAAAACTTAAAGAACCACTCCAACTTTCTCCTGATGACCCCAATGTAATTTTAAGTTACCTTTGTTATCTAAGTTTGTTAAAAATGCTTACCTTTCATGGCATAAGAGTCCGTTGGAATTTGCCCCTGGGTCCGTTGATCTGCAGTCTCATGCTCTCAGGACTCTGACACTTCATCGGATTGGTTCTACTTGCTTTTCTTAATGTATCCACCTGGACCAGTCTCTGAGGTGCATACCTTTTTACCCTGTATCTTTTGCATGCATATTGAATATAACGCAGTAACTCTCGCAGAACTATGTAAATATTGCACGGCATTTTCCCGAAAAAAATGTTTCTCAAAATCGGTTGCCAAGAGTACGATTGCAACAATCTTCTCGTATGTTTTTTGTTCCTCGGTGAGGATGTCATTCAGCTCACTTCTATTACGTCCTTCGTAGCTCTCCCTCTGCACCTCCAGTCGGACCTCATACCTACCTATTGTTGCGGACAATTTCCTCCACCTTGTGTTCATCGAATTTTGATCATCCTACTGGCATACGCTTCGTCAAACATCTCGACGATACAGGATCACCCACTCATGTTAGTACGTCTTTAATGATGTGCAGAAGCTAGTAGACCCAAAAAACGAAACTGTTCATTTTGAATGTCCACATGATACGGTGCCTTTCTGTACCTACCTGAACGATTGATGGCGCCCAGCCGCAATACCTCCTACAGGTGTAACAATGTTGTGTTCGGACCGGGAGCCCGCTGTTGTCCATCTCCCAGCCGCTCGCATTACGCCCCATTCCAGGTTCAGCTCCAGTTGTTTTTAGACGTAGAACTACGTCTTTTTGAACAACAGATATTAATCAAAAATTGTTTATGGAAAAAGTGTCAGGTTTCAAACGCCGAAACCGAATTTTACCTGAAAATTCTCCCCTGGAATTTTACTCAATGAACTTGAAAATTCTGAAGCGAATTTATCTTAATTAACAAACTCTGTGGCTTCAACTGGCATTTTAAAGGTCTTAGGACATTTTTTTACAGATCTTAAAATTAGGCAATTATACAAAATCCTGAACTTAGACACACACAAAAGCTTGAAGAAATGTTTCAGAATTTGGATCGGAAGATAAACATTCAACATGTCATCATGCATTTGTCATCCACGAAAATTCGCAGGAGTACTCCAAAGTTGTTTCGGAAAGAATAGAAATAAACTTTCAAGGTAGTACTGATGAACTCCATATTCCTGGTGAAATTTACGGAAAATTCCAAGATAGTTCTAAGTAGAAGTCCAAGGAAACCCTGAATATGATTCCAACAGTGGCGTCGGATAACCCCACTTTTTACCTGTGCCCCAAACGTCAATCTATCCAGCGGGACAAACTTAACGAAGTTCAAAGTTGATACGTGTTATGGAATGTACCCATAGCGTACCTTCATGGATTTTGGACGTATACCTCAAAGCTTCTCGGAAAACTCGTCAATTTCAGCCATGACCACGTGGATCGATCAGAAATGAGAAGTACCAAATGCTTACTTTACGAATCTGTAAGTCTCAGCCACCTCAGTCAGGAGCACTTCTGCGACTCCCTGACTCCAATAGCCTCATGGTCGGCACACTTACCGATTGCAATTACGCGGGGCAGGGAATGATCGCACGTGACACACAGAAAAACTCCACAAGCACTTCACTACTCAAGTTTGTTTCTTTTACTACTCCCTTCTTCTCCCACTTTCTTACAATCTATCTGGCCTGTTTTCTCCGTCGGGGCCCCTCGCAACACCTCCACCACGTGTCTTCGATCGTCGTCCGCTTGTCCTCGGTCGACGTTCGCTTCCTCTCCACTTCCTCTTCGTGTACCTCCTTCGCGCCTTCTGTACGGGGTGACGATGACGAACTCCGGGTTTCAGTGTAACCTTCCGGTACGTCTACAGGAACTTCACTGTGTACAAGGCGATCTGTACTAAATATAGCGGGGTCCTGCTGTCCTTCTATCCGTGACTCTCTCTCCTCACACTTTTCACTTGTTTCCACTATTAATTTCCGTTTTCGAACCGTTTTCGCTGGTTGTCTTACGAACAGTGATTTTTATTTTCAAAGTTGAGTGAGTCATTAGGTCACTGCACCAGGCTGTCGGCCAGTTTGTCGTGCCCGTTATCCTCCATTAAAAATGGCCATCTCTATCGCCACCCCTCATGGCCTCCCAACAGGCACTTGTTCGTCCATCTGGTGGCGGGTTTTGCAACAATCGGTGAGGTGGATTGTTGCTATCTTTGCCTACTAGGGAGTTTAACAATGGAGAAAACTGCACAACACTCACGAACACTACCTGTTATTATTTTTCTACAATTTAACGGAACTAAACACCACGATAATCTAAAAAATCCTCGAGCTAGCACTTACAAATCTGTAATTCATTTTTAACGTACTTATTTTCAATTAAATCCTTATAAACTTTTTGAGATTGATGTGTGCACCAACTTTTAAAACGTGACATCTAGCAATAATTACATTTAAATCGGTTGGCAAATGCACATAACCTTCTATAGTTATCCATTGCAAGTAATATTTTTAGATTGGTTAACGTTTTGAGTGCGCTGGTAGATGTTAGTGCGACGCCACTAGATTCAAAGGAAATTTCAATGAAAATTTATAGCAATTATTTATGAGGAAGCGAATTCTGAGGATAATTTCATGATAATTTTGAAAAGCCCAAGTTAATTCGAGAATTTTCTGGGAGCATCCAGGGCATCATTCCGTTTGAAGAATACTTAGGGTATGCTAAGGAAGATTACAATTAAATGTGAGAAGAATCTCAGGAGAACTTGAAAGGAATTCGGAGGAGAATTTCAAAAGAGATCTGACTAGAATCCCAAACTAACCCAACAAACAACTGGAACTGATTGAAGGCTCCTCAGGGAATTTTGAAATCATCGTATCAAGGTCAAGTAAGAACCGAATGGAAGACGTCTGAAACTTGAATTGTTTTTTAGGGTTCTGAAACATGAATTTTTTTTTTTTAGATCTTGGAGTTTGTTTTTCTGGAATGTGGAACGAAGATAAATGTTCAAGACATTGAATATTTTCTAAGAACCCAGATAAAAATAAGGACTTTGCAAAAGTTTTACATCTTATGGACTTAAATGAATTAATCCAATGAGAATTTTCTGGGATCTCAATGGATAATTCCAAAAGAAGAATTGTTAGGAAAACTTGAAGCGAAATCTGGGGATTCCTCTGAAGTTAGTTCTGTTGAACTCCACTTTCCAAGTGAAAAGTAAGGAGAGTTTCAAGGTAGATCTAAGTAGAATCCCAAAAGAACCCTGAGTAGGATTCAATGGAAATTTTCAACAGAATACCGAGGAGAATTCCACGAGAGTTTTTTTTTTCTAAAATTGTAAAGAAATTTTGAGGAAAATTCTAAAGGATTTGTAAAGCGATCTTCAAAGTACTTGTGAGCAGGATTCGAAAAGAAAATGGGGAATCCATTAGAATTCAATGAAAATTTGAAGGATAATTCTAGACTAACATTTAAAAAAGGCGTAACTCCAAAATGACCGTATCGAGAAAATCGCTTCCGAATTTTGATGACCTAAAAATTAATCCTTTCCATTTTCTGGATGATTTTATAAGCTTGACATATAGTTAATAGTGTAATCTGTCATAATGCATCACTAAAAACCCAAAAAAAGTTTTCTTTGTCGTGAAATTGAGAATAAAACATCATACGCCCTGATTAATTAATTAACTGCCAGCACTGGTGATACGCCGTGGAAATACACCCTCGGGATTTTTAGTTTGTTGTTCCGCCTTGGTTCTTCTTTTTGTTCGTTGTTTACACATGAAATATCAATCGGATGCATTTCAAATTAATCGAGCGTGACTAGATACTACAGAATCAGTACGTTTGGCATATTGAAACAATACAATTCGTAGTTCTGGTGCAAGGCGTAACAATCAGATGCATAATAGAGTTGAAAGTTGGAGATGCGCCATGTAAAAAGAAACGTTTTTGGTGATTTGATTTATCAAAATGAGTAGACACCCTGACAAGCAATTTTTTTAGCTGAAGATGTATATTTCTAGATAGAGCTGGAATTAGGGCGTAACAGCTTTTGTAAACAGTGACTTCTTTCGATGGTTTCTAAAAAGTCAAGGCTCGCCAACGCAAATCAACATCACCATCGGGTAGGAGAAGACTTTCCCTACCCGATGGTTATGTTGCTTTACGTGGGCATCCCTTGA